GGCTCAACATGGCAGTCGGCATGAACATTCAGGAGTTGTTGGTGATCGGCGATTCAGACTTGCTTGTGCACCAGGTACAAGAAGAATGGGCTACCAAGAATTCCAAGATATTGCCATATCTGCACCATGTGCAGGAATTGAAAAGGAGGTTCACGAAGATAGAATTTCGACATGTGCCCAGAATTCAGAATGAGTTCGCCGACGCATTAGCCACTTTGCCATCAATGATGCAACATCCAGATAAGAGCTATATTGATCCCATTCCGGTGAGGATCCATAATCAGCCGGCATATTATGCCCATGTCGAGGAAGAAGCAGATGGAAAGCCTTGGTTCTATGATATCAAGGAGTACTTATCAAAAGGAGAATAGCCGGAGCATGCAAACCACATTCAGAAACGCACGCTCCGGAGATTGTCAAATCACTTCTTCCACAACGGAGGGAACTTGTATAGAAGAACTCTGGATCTGGGTTTGCTAAGGTGTGTCGACGCAAAGGAAGCTTCCAAGCTACTTAAGGATGTGCATGCTGGGACATGTGGTCCGCACATGAATGGTTTCGTTCTGGCCAAGAAGATACTCAGGGCAGGTTACTTTTGGATAACCATGGAGACGGATTGTATTCAGTATGTCCGCAAATGCTTTCAATGTCAAGTGCATGCTGACATGATAAAGGTGCCGCCAAATGAGCTCAATGCAACAAGTTTGCCTTGGCCATTCGCCGCCTGGGGAATGGATGTTATTGGTCCGATCGAGACCACTGCTTCAAACGGACACCGGTTCATTCTAGTAGCCATTGATTACTTCACAAAATGGGTAGAAGCTACATCTTACAGAGCCGTAAACAAGAAAGTCGTCGCAGATTTTATTAAGGATCGTATTGTCTGTCGATTCGGAGTTCCTGAGTCCATTATTACTGACAACGCCGCCAACCTCAACAGTGAACGGATGAAAGCTATGTGTGAAACTTTCAAATCAAGCACAAGAATTTCACCACCTACAGACCTCAGATGAATGGAGCCGTAGAAGCCGCCAACAAAAACATTAAGAAGATACTAAGGAAAATGGTAGAGAATAACAAGCAGTGGCATGAGAAGTTACCCTTTGCTCTGTTAGGGTACCACACCACAGTTCGCACGTCAACCGGGGCAACCCCCTACATGCTGGTTTATGGTACAGAGGTTGTCATCCCAGCCGAGGTAGAGATTCCTTCCCTAAGAGTCATACAGGAAGCTGAACTCAGCGATGCGAAATGGATAAGGAGCCTTTATGAGAAATTGGCCTTATCGATGGAAAGAGAATGAACGCAGTATGCCACGGCCAACTATATCAGAACAGAATGTCCAGAGCTTTCAACAAAAGGGTCAAACCAAGACAGTTCGCACTAGGGCAGCTGGTATTGAAGAAGATTTTCCCACACCAAGATGAAGCCCAAAGGGAAATTCTCTCCCAACTGGCAAGGTCCGTATATGGTTCATAGAGTACTAACAGGAAGAGCACTCATACTTGCAGAGATGGATGGAGAGATCTGGCCAAAACCAATCAATTCAGATGCAGTCAAGAGATACTATGCCTAGAATCATTTCATATTTCCTTTCTGATGTAATTGAACTACACTTGACCTGATTCCCGTTTAAGAGGAAATATGTAGGCAGCCTTATGGGTTCGTTCATATCACATTAAAATTTTCATTTCCCCAAAAAAAATCAAAAACTGTGGCAGAATTTTGAGGAGGGTCCTCAATATTCTGGAGTAAGTCCAGCCAATGCCGACGTGCGTTAGGAAGCCAGTAATCAGTCAAGAACTGGGGCAGATTCTCAAAATTCCGAGGAAGATTCAGCAAGATCCGCCATCCGAAGACGGTTAGAAGTCATCTACTAAACTGGGACAGAATTTTGAGGATCCTCCTCAAAATTCCAACATAAGAGAGCTCCAATGCCTTCGAAATGTGTCACAGTCGCTAATCCATCAAAGTTGCTTGATATATCAATACACTTCCAAAAACAATTCTATTTTATCAATGAATGCATATTTTTCGAAAAATCTATTTTTATAACAGTCAGGTGCTACCCATGGGAATTCGAAGGGGGCTTCCAGAGCGGAGCAAAGCAAGACCAGCAGACGAAGTGGTCTATTTCTGCATAATCACTTAGAAATCCTACTTTAGGACTTTGATTAGTAAAGACCTTAACTGTGTTTGAGTCGTGTTGCTTGTATGTTTGTTTGAGGAGGAAATTGTGAGCCTTTTTAATTGCTCCCATTATGTGAAAATCCAAAATATTTTTTACTGTCGCCTTAGATTTTTGCCTTTAAAACCTTAGGGTTATGTCTAGAACCACCCATAGGTAGAGGTCCTAACACCCTCCGGGACCGTTAAGAAGGGACGGGTAGCAGCACGCAATTGGAATCAGTGACCAAACACTCGCTTTGCATGACCAATAAGGGGATGGGAAGGGTAGACATGGATATGATGACCGGTGCGCTAATGCCACGCGTAGCCCCTTTCCAAGGAGTGATTACCGGGTATTGTACTGATGTGATCCTATAGGATAACCAACCTAGGACCCCTCTTTACCAAATCCTTTTGCTTGAAACTTCATTTTTCCTTTTTTTCACAACCTGTTTAAATTCTTATTTTTATACAATGCCCAACATGCTCTACTTGCAATTACTTGCTTCAATTGTTTATTTATGGACTGATTTGTGAATATAAGTTCGGTCGGGACCTACAGTTGTGGACCAGAGGGGTGCCTAACACCTTCCCCTCGAGGTTACCTCGAGCCCTTACACTAATCTCTGGTAATACAAACCAACCCGAGAGTTAATTACTCTAGGTGCCCTAACGCACCTTAACTCGTTAGGTGGCGACTCTTCAAATACCCAATTCCCAAAAGGAAATGAGTCATTACACCCCGTGAATGTCGAAATCCGGACTCCTCCCCGCGGAGGAAAAAAAAAGGGGGCGCGACAACTACAAGGTAGTTCCAAAATCGACAAAAGCAAAGACTGTAAAAGGTAGCTTACCAAAGTTATACTTCTAGCCTCAAACGAAAAAGATTCAACATACAAAAAATATAAAGTAAGAACAGATCCAGTATTCAGTATCTTATTGTTTCGTGTCGGAAACAAAGAAGAGCATCCAATCTTGGTTCTTCCTGAACACTTGGTTATCAATTCCAATGCTAATAGTAGTGCATTTAATAAGAGAAATATTTTTATTATTAGATTAAAATGCAATTTGTGCAAATCGCATGATAGAATTAAAAAGATATCTTAGCTAGTAAAAATATGTTGATCAACTAAATAAAGGGTTGATTGCAAAATTATATAGTAAAATAAAATAGTTTTAGTTTTGACTCAGCAGAAAATGATACCAATAATTACTACCAAGAAGAATACTTAAATACTTTAATACCAAATGGTCTTCCATCATACATGTTTGTTGTCAAGTTTCTTATTTCTTACGTATGTTAGTGTCACCTATATATAATAGACTAAGTTAAAATTGATCTTTCCTTGTATAATATAGGTTAATTTTAAAGAAAAATATGCATGTCATGTTACTAAAAACTTAGGACCCGTTTGGCCATAGATTTTGCCAAAATATATATTTGGGGTTTTTTTGGCAAATACAATAGATTTTATCTATATTTTGCCAAATTCCCAAACCCAAACCTAAAATATTACTATTATATTTTTTAAAAATTGCCCCAAACTTTTATATTTTATAAAAGAGCCCACCATTTATTACTTTGTAACAATGTTGTTTCGTCTTCTTAGTCATCTAATAGTGTATTATGTAGTTCATTATAAAAATGATAATTTTGTACCAAATTTATTTATGTTCAGGACTATAGTTTGCGATAATATAATAAATGTTATTTATGAAGGTATTATTGGGTATTTGTGATAATTTTTAAAACTTGTGGGTATAATTCATATTTCATATTTTTTCAAAAAAAAAAACTGAAATGTTTTGAAAACTGATGTCCAAATACATTTTCATCTTCAAAACAAACTTCACCCAAAATCAGATTTTTTAAAATAAATCTAGGAATCTATGGCCAAACGCTAGCTTAGCTACGCCGAATAGCTTATGTAATAGCACACATATGGTATATAGAAGTTTTGACAATAACGTCGTACATGCAAAATATATGATACTGGTCAATGTGCTTCTAAGTATATTTTTATCCCTGAATTCAACTTTCGTCTTCCAAACTAAAGAATATCCTTTTAAGTTTGTGTAAAAGTAATTTTTAGTATGTTTATGTTTTGCAAATATAATAAATAAAGCACAAGGACAAACATCCTAAATATTGGACTATATTTACTGCACTATGTTTTTTTGCACGAACAACTGTATGTTGCACTTTCAAGAGGGATATCAAGATCGACAACAAGAGTTCTGGTTAAGGCAGAGCAACCAACGCATTAGGAGAAAACATACACACAAAAATATTGTCCACAAAGAAGTGTTCGTTAAGATACCATCACATTAAATACTTTTAAACTATAATATATAATTATCTAAGAAACATGACAAGTTATGCTAATGTAATAATATTTTCGATATTTAGATGATTGTTGTATTATTATACATAAAATTTCTCTCATTAATTAAATTTTATTGTTCCTTCGTATAAATAATGTTTAAATCTATCACGTGCCATTATTAACGTGATACTGGCGAAATGGTTCACATTTACTGTGCTCAACAATCAACAGCCATTTTGCGCCAGCATAAATACAACTACATGAATAATCTTAAGTAATAACAAGCTAAATAAGAACTACCACCAAAGGATGTCGTGAAGCTGATGAGACTGCTCTTCCTTTAACCAGAAGTTTCGGGTTCAAAGTCTGGGTATGAAAAAATCCTTGGTAAGAAACACTTCCCCCGAATGGCACCCTGTGCGACGTGAATCCAAATATAATCAGGCTCCAATGCAGGTACCGGACACCGGGTGAAAATACAGGAAAAAAAAAGAAGAAGAAGAATAAGCTAAATAAGAGCTTCGAACTTGTATTGTTTCAAGTTACAATGATTTACTCCAATGTATAAACAATCTTCCAAAAACTGTTCATTTCACTATGAGCACAAAGTTCACCGTTATACAACATCACATTTCTTCCCAAATCACTCTCTTTCAACTCCCCAACCAATTAAGTGAAAAGAAAAAAAGAAGAAAAAGATAAATATAAAAAGAATACAACCTCACCCACCAAAAAATTACACACATTCACACAGATATACAAAGACGTCAAATATTGAATCACAAAATTCAACTACACACATCAACCTACAATAAATTCCCAAAAAAAACTACACCCGCCTAACTATGGCTTGCATCTACCGGAGTACCAGTTCTGGCCTGTGATATTCGATTTGCATAAATGGTAACCAATCGTAACTGCGTACTGTTCAGCCCTTCCAAGTATGGCATAAATGCTTTGCCCAGCATGATGTATATGTCAACCAAACAGAAAACAACAGTCTGCCACCCAAAAAAAATTACGCATATCAAAATATAGCTAAAGAGATGTAAAACTGCAAACGTGAAAACACTTTTGGTCTAGACGTGGTTTTAAACCTAGACATGGTTTGAAAATCACATATAGACAACTAAAATGAAATTCGGTACAAAAATTATTGTTAAGTGCTTCGTGAGGATTCATTCCAATTTTTATTTACTAGGTTCGAATCCCTAATTCTGGTGTAGGTATGCAGGACAACCCTCAAACGGAATTGCTTTTGCTATTCTTTACACCAACCTGCAACCTATCATACATTAAGGGCAAACTGATAGGTAGAGAAGTACCCCTGCAGGCTATCTAGTTATCTCCAGTTCTCCACAATGTAAAGAAAACCAGCAAGATATGCACATAGCGACATACTACAGAAGCTACATATCACTTCCTGTGCCAGCTTGCGCACCTCAATATTCCACCGGGCACCTGCTACTTCCCACCAGCACAGGGTACCAGCTAACTCTGCCCATCAAAGCTTGGGGAGATGGGAAGAAATTACATAGTGAACCTGATATTTCATGGTTCCACTAGGCCACACCCTCGAGTGCTTCATTTCCTACTTTCTTTTCAAACTACGATGAAGCAGATGAATAATTACTGAATATCTTTAATTCTGCTACTCCATTCGGCTTCTCTGAACACAACAGCTGAAAAACACAAGAAAACAGGGAATTTCACCTTGCGGACATCAGCACTCTGGTTTCCAAAAGCATCAAACAGGGAAGGCAAGAATGAAGGCAGCTGAGACATCAATTCCTCCTGGGAGAGCCTCCCAACAAGCTGAAAAAAGAGACAAGAAATCCACATTAGAAACCAATGATAGCATTCAGAGCTTGCATATACTAGCGAAAAACATAACTTCTTCTATGACAAAATAAGACCCCAAGGTGCAATTATACCTTGACACTAAAAACTCTTCAAACCAATAATTTCACTACATCCTAGTAAACAAATCTTGTAAAGTCATGATGGTACCGCATGAGTTGTCACATGTGCTTAGGAGTAATAGTTGCATAATAAGATGAGAACTTTAGTATAATCTGTTACATTGCTTCAAAGAACAAGGACAAAGTATAACTGCTAGGGACGAGGTAAATGCTGAATGGCCCATGTCATTGCAAAGAAGGAAAAAAGCTGAAAATTTCCTCCTTTGACTGGATTTCAACAAGATAGACTAAAGTAGTACAGAATGCCGCCAACAAAACATAACCCTTGCCCCCTAACAGTACATGTATGGATGATTTCAACTCTGCACAACATAAGAAACTGGAAGAAAAGGATGGATTGATAAAAAAGAGAGCAAACTTAATGTAGCCAAGAAAACACCAAATTAAGCTAGTTCGGCGAATTGAAACAAACTTAATCAGCAATCACCTTTGTCAACGTGTTTATACAAGTTACAAGAGTCTTCTCGTCTTCAGTGACAAGCAAAGGAACAATAACCTGCAATACCAACTATAAGACAATGCAAGAACGACCAGCTCATGATCAAAAGAAAGAAGTACAATCCAGCACTTACACTTAAGCATCTGAACGGGTCGTACTGGGACAAAATTGTAGTTAAACAACTCTCGGCTTCATTAGCAACCTAAATGATGTTACAACACATTAAGCAAAGAGGGAAACAAAAAGCTATAACACAATATTTTCAGCGAAGCCCAAGCGGAAGTTTACTTTTGCAACATCATCCTTGGTCACGTGGAGCAGCTTTTCAATTATGATCTCAACTGAGTCCTCCATAGCATTTTTCTGGAACAACACATTGATAATGGAAGAGAAAAGGTAAGATATGTGTAGAAGACAACTGCTCCTCTTAATTTAGAAAAGGGAGGATCAAGGGGGACGGAATTCCACAAGTGACCACTGAAAAGACAGCCAACATACCTGATTCTTCAGCATTTCAAGAATCAGAGATAGGGCAAGTTCCCTTGTCAATGACTCAGAATCGTCTAACACCTCAAGCACAGCAGTTAATATCTGATTGAAGTACTGCACAAAACAAAAGATGACATGTCATGAAATCCATATCCTTTTTTACTTTTATTAGAGTACTAATCCCAAAGGAGCACAAATTAAGCTCCAACCATTTGGAATATGATTCGACTACTAGACAGAAAAGCAGTGAATTAGAGTATGATCCTGGGTCTTGCATTAAGAATCCGACAATCAACATTAACTGACTAAACATCAACAGATTCCAATGGCAAATATACCTTGCTCCAGATGGATTGATCCTTAGCAACAGAAGCTTCGACCAATTGTTCAAGTGCATCACGCTTGTTAGCAGAAGGACTTCCATCATTACCATTGCAAATCTACTCAAAAGTGGAAGATAAAGCGGCGTAAGAATACTGAAGGTTTTTATCCTTTAATTATTACAAAATTAGACTTGAGAAATCATCTAAAAGATTCTTCATGATGGAAGTAAAACGTGACAATATAGCACAACCTGCACAGATGGACCACAAAAAAAAAAAAAGAAACTCACCAAATGAAGAATATGAGGGATGCTTGGTCCAGTTTCTAGAGTTGAATTTATCTTGAGAGCAGAGAGTTTTAGGTGATTAGGCCCCAGGTTAGATGAAGATCCATTATCAACTAGCTCATTGCCGTCCAGATGAGGAGTGGAGGCCTGTTCTATGTTTGAGCTGTTATCCTTGCTTTCCAATGTCCATAATGTGTTATTCTCACTTGTGGTAAGGGCCCCAAATTTCAAATCCTTGGCTTTTGAAACAGGAGGATCAGTGTTGGAACCAGTTTCCACACCACGATAGAAGTCCTGAGTACCATCAGACAACTGACCAGTAGATCTAGTCATATAGGTTGGGTCTTGAAGAGAGTTCCACTTTCTGATGCTATCAGAATCAACTGCACCCCCAGAATACCTTCCAAATAGATTATTCTTCGTTGAAGTGCCAATATATCCCTCTTCAGATGATGTTCCAACAACATCAGATGGATCATAAGAAGACTTGGAACGTTGTCTATCTTTCTTGCTCTGCAGGAAATTCATCAAATCCACCTCTATACGAGGCGTGCACTTCTTAAGAGCCCGTCTTAAGGAATTTTGTTCTTCAACCGATAAGCTAAGAATGAAATTGAGAACTGCTGTCGAGTCGAAGTGTGTGTACATTGATATAATGCACGAAATAGCTGCTTCTTTCAGTTTGGTATTCTTATCATGGATCAATGGTGTCAACTTAGCAAGCCATAACTTGAGGATGCCAATGTTAGCAGCACCTTCAGAATTTGAAGGATGCTTGTTAAATGAGCCAATTGCAAACTCAATTACTGCGAGTTTAGCCTTTGGGGACCGCTGTTCATCTAATGAACGGAGCAAAGCTGGCAAAAGGGAATCTATCCCATATGTCTTGCTAACTATTTCAAGGGTAGTTGAGCAGGGCTGCCTCACCAATTCCTTGGGATCAATTAACCGTGAGAAAACATGTGGCAAGATCCTCTCTACATAACTTTCAAATGGCTTTCTGCAAGCAGGAATAAGATCTGCAAGGGTTGAAAGTGCTGCCTGTGCGACTTTATGATGGGGATCATCAAGATGCTGGAAAAACAATTTCATAACCTTCTCAAAACTCTGAGTTATTTCTTGAATACCTCTAGGGCCCTGCTGTAGCAAAGACCGGAGATAGCTGAATGCAGCAACCCTGGCTTTCCAATCTGAAGTAGAACTGAGACCCTCACTTAATGCATCATTTAGCGAAGCTGGACCATCCACATAACTAGATACATCTCCTAGTGGAAGCTGACTGTCATCAAAGCTCCTCCTCCTGCTAGCTGACATTCTTCCTGCTGCATTCTTTTTTAAGAGAGGACGTTGAAAATTGGGAACATGATTATTATGGGAGTCCCTAAAGTTAGCATCTCTGTACGGTGTCTCTAAGTATTGTCTGTCAACACGAGAGTTCATAAACCGCCTAGTGTCTCTCAGCTCAGCATTCTCTTCAACAAGTCCTCTATCCTGTGGTTTCTCAGAAGCTCTTCTTGCAGTGTAGGAGTTGAGTGCAGAAAAAGACTCATGATCCGTACTACTTCGATATGATGCTTTAGCTGAATCCTTTGAGGCCTGGATCTGAGTGATGATATCAGACAAAACCAACCCACCATTGCGATTATTTCCTTTAGTCATAGCAAATGGTGCATCAACCAGTGAAGCATTACTAAGACTAGTTGATGCAGGAACAGCAAGAGGGAACGGTGGATCACGGGATGAGGGCGGGTCAACTCCTGCACTAGGGGACAACATAAGAACATTTTAAGCTGTTCAATAAAAACTCAAAAGTTACAGCAGTAGTTCAAATGTACTTTTAGTAGAATCATACAACTGCATGCAGATGACCTTTCACGGTGTCAACAATTAATTAAACACAGAAAGCTTTTCTTCATCAAATCAGTAATTACTTAACACATCAAGTTTCAGGATGCAGAAAAATAATGGAAGAGGAAACAATCACCTAGATCCAAACTAGAGGAGCGACTTCTCTCAGATACATCTAGCCCTTTGAGCAGGTTTTCTATAGCAGAAACTTTCTGTTTACTGGCATGAAGTACACTTTCCAGGCTACGTTCCACTCCCACAGGCTTTGCTTGTGGCAAAAGCAGCCCAGAGGACAAGGACGTCCCTGAAGACAAATTAGCACTTCTATCCATGGCAACTATTGCAGACGTTCCATAACCAGGTAGATGTGAAGAAGCAGATGTTTGAGAAGAAAGTGAGAACTGTGAACTCCTTTCTCGAACAGAAGGAGAAGCATGCCGCTTATGAATACCACCATCTTCCTCATTTATGATCTGAAAAAAGATCAACTTTAGTCCACAACATCGCCCTTGAAGACTGATCTGGAGTATATGACAATTATCTGTCCTGGAAGGATGCTGGGAGCAATTTAGAAGAGAAAAGACAGTACCCTTTGGATAGCAGGATCAAAGGACATAAACAAACGCCTAGAACGTTCTGGCCAAGTTCTTGCAAACATTCTGTACAAAGTTCTTGCAGTTGATCGTACCTGTTGTTAAAGCTAAGTGATAAGAATTGCCAACAAGAGATCTTGAATCACAGCTGAGGGGTTGGGGCAGGGGGGGAAATGGGTGATGCAAACGCAAGGTATACATGCAGATAATTATGCAAAATTTGTAAATATATGATACTCAGAGTTTAACATTCATACCTCACTCATTGCATCAGCGACACAACATTTTATAAGGTCTTCATAAAGCTCAGCTGAGCGTTGTACCTCAGATGCATCAGGCCAATGTTCAAGGATCAGAAGTGCATACTCACCGCATCTGTCATCGAACATAATCAGAAGATGGAACAGCACTGTAGAGAATTAAATACAGAATCATTTTTTTATAACCGTGGTGTCCGGGCCAGCTTACGCGCACCTCGACTAATTCCACGAGGTACCTGCTACCTCCCAAGTACGAGGTAACTCTATCCACCAAGGATTGGACAGATGCAAAGAAATCACCTAGTGTTTTTGCCTCGGCTGGGATTTGAACCTGAGACCTCATGGTTCTCAACCCACTTCGGTGACCACTAGACCACACCCTTGGGTGCAATTAAATATAAAATTAAGATCTGTCAGCTAGAAGCACTATCAAACCTTGCACGAAGTACTGCATTTCTGTCATTCTTTGCAGAATCAGCTATACGAGGAAGTGCTCGACCAACTTTGCAGTTGCGCAACATCTGAAATGAAAAAAACAACAGCAAATGATTGATAGATACTGTACATACGGGCCAGAAAACAGATTCAAGAATCACATAAAGCATTACCGTCTTTATGCAGTTATCAGCAGATTCTGCAATTACAAGAACAGTTATCACAACAAGCTTGAAAAGAACCTGAAGTTCAATGAGGATGTCATAACCTTGCGCAAGTTAGAGCAAATGTAAATGATAGAAGTATAAGCACATGGATAACTATATAACTTGTTCTCACCGGAATGAACATCTCAGCACATGCCTCAAAATCTCCCAACAGCTCTTTTGATAAGAAGTTCAGTAAGTGACATGCCTACCATTCACATAAGACGGTGGATTAGCCTTCATTAGTGTCAGAATTCAAAACTTTTCTTGAATAAGTAAGAACTCAGAACATTGCAAAAGTTGATGCACAGCAATCCAGAATGAAACGGAAGTTTAAGCTAATCCATCACCAATAAGCAAAAGCATGCAGTTAAACAATCGCCTAGCCTGTATGGTAAAAATATGCAGGTGTATATGCATCTATATTGACGACATATTTGAGAACCTTACACAATGCTCACACTTCCTCTCTTTTTTCCCGTTCTACTCAATAACGACCAAAGTAGAATATCTAGTTGTCTACCCCGCTTTACTTTTAGCAGATCCTTTTTTCATTTTTCACTAAATTGGTTTCCCAAATCTCACTGAAAATTTACTGCTTTCTATCTGAGACAAGAAATGTAGTCAAAATGCATTAGAGATGTAACCCTTGCATGCCTAGGTGTAGCGCTAGCCCCTGGATAAATGCAACAGAAAAAAGAAAGGGGAGAGTCTCTTTGACTCCTTTGAGGCCTCTGTAAATCTGCAAGTACTTCCTAGAACAGAAACCCGAAAGGATGGAACTAGACCGTAATCAGTGTTGGGCACATAGAGCAACGCATGCTAAAAGAAATTTCAATATCATGTCCATATTGACTTCACAGTGCTCAACTAAATGAATCAGGTGTCATGCTCCGACTTATTTGATCATAACTGTTTAAACAACTCCGGTTTCAAACTAAAAGGAGGAAAGGATTATATAAACCCAATTTTCAGCTTAGGTGCTCTTTGCATTTACATCAGCTTGGAGGTGCTCTCTGCATAATTGAGTTGTCTCACATATTAAACTAAGAATACAGCTTTTAGAGTATTATTTCTGAAAAACAAAAGAAGCAACTGAAATGACAAATTCCTGCGATATATAAGGCATTAGCAGGGTATTTCTTTTATTTTAGTAAGCAATTAGCGGCTATATTAATGGACTAGGATACGGGAATAGGAATATAAAATCAACTTCTACTAGGTTTTCATTGTATCTGACTGGTCCATAGGTAACCCCAACACATTTCAGACAGGTGCATCATGGTAAATGATAGTCAGGCTAATAAATGTAGTACAGCATACTTCAGCATACTTCAGCAAACTAGAAATAAAAAGAACAAGTATCTCATACGACACATACTTCTCAGTAAAAGTATCTCATAGGGCACATCTCAGAAAAAATATCTTATAGGCAGACAAGCAAAATATATGACAACATAAAGAAGTAGCCAGTGTTATGAAACCAAACCTGTTTTATTATGCTGGATCTCCTATCAGATAACTGTGTGCTCAAAGGGCCAACAAGTTGCTTTAGAAGTCCACGAAAACAAGGATAATCAGCTGCACCTAATGGAACAGAATAAGAGATAACATGCATTACCAACTGCACTGTCTTAAGCACATAAGGACACAACATAAGAAGATGCCACTATAAGAACATATGGAAGTGTTACACATTATTTCAACAAAGGAAGGGAAAGGTCATTATGTGAAGTGCAAAGCTGGTAAAATACCTCCAATAACAAGAGCTTCAACTCTCTGCATAGCGGCAATACGGATAGACCAATCTTTCTCTGGTACAAGGGTAGAGGCAATTTTCTCGAATTCCCTTATCAGTTCCTTTTCTGAATACACTTTAATTGGATCGACAGGCTTTTCTGTAATATCACTATCCCCTGCACAAGAACAGAGATCAAACTAAAATCATATTAACATGTAAAAACCATAGACTATCTGTTTGCATTATTTGATTGCATAATGTCTCCCTTCTGTTCCATTTTTTGCTCAAATTACCATTTGTCCAAAAATTGCTCACAGACAAATAATCTCACAATCTCATAACAAGGAGAACATTTTTCTATGCTCATAAACCTGCTGCACAAGCACGCTTTTCCTTCCCTCCCCCCTTCCCCGTCTTCTGCTCAGTCATAACCCTTAAACCAAAAAGAATACGCACATAGGACAGGCAAACAACAAATAACAATGAAGGCCAACTAACGCAATCTTGGAAACTTTTAGTCCAATAACATGGTAACTGGATGCTAAAATAAGCTTAACATGACATAAAAGTTTAATTGTGATAATAGTGCATATACATACCTCCAAGGAGAGACGCCTCTCTTGTTGAACGCTTTGCTTTAGGACTGCTTTTCTTGGAATTAAGGCTAGCAGATCTCACCTCACCAGCTGAATAATTACTTGAGATTCCATCAGTAGATCGACTTTTAGGCTCAATCTTCTCAAGTCTGGCATTAATATCTTTTAGCTGCAGCCAGTAAACAAGTCAAAACAAACATTGAGCAGAACTTTTGTTTACCACATCAGCTTCTACTGACAAAGTAAAGCACAAGCTAAAGTTGGAAGAAAACTCAGTTTACCACACACCACGCAGGATGTTCAAGAAAAGAATCTATTTGCTAGAATGAGATCATCTAAAGCTAAAGGCTTACCAACATGGAAGGAAGATGATGGCGCTGAAGCTCATCACGGAACTGGGGTCCAACCTCTGAATACATCTCCTGCAAACAGGAAATATGGGGAGATAATTTTCAAACAAAAGAAAATGGGAAGAGTAGTCTGGGTTTCTTTCTTTCGGGAAAGGAAGAGTAGCCAGTTAACGACATAATAATTGGTTTGTCAAGGCACCGAAGACTAATTAAGAAAAGCAGTTTGACCAAACACAGGAAATTGAGAAAAGATAGCAGTTTAACTACCTCAATACATGATATGGCTGCTTCCCTTACTCCATGATTAGGATCATTCAACATATGCAAAATCTGATGATAGCAGCAAAGAAAAAGCATGTTTAGAACTTTTTTATTTACAAATGAAAACACATCCCATGTTTAGCTATATATGTGCTAGTAAATGATATTAAAATAAATATATCTATTAACATACGGGAGGAAGAATAGCCCGTTGAAGGGGCAGCTCGGTCGATGCAAAAAGACCAATTGCTGATGTAAGAGTACGAGCAAATTCTTCTCGAACTTTAAAGCTTTTGTGCATCCAAGCACAAGACCCAGCTCTCTCAACTATAATTGTTGGTGAAGAAACCTGGTGAAAATATAACAATCAACCAAATCATTTTCTAGTTTTTTACCCTCATCATACCCAAAAATTAGAAAGAAGAGATTAAATGATTTGTGATGCTCATGTAACTAACATACGAGTGACGAAATATCCAATACTACCTTTGTCCCAATCTATGCGTCATACTTCTTTTTTTTTTTTTTTTTGAGATGGTAACAGATCCAATATATTAATAAATCATCAGCACAAATTTTGTACTGGAACCAAGATTACATCAAGAAGAGCTAGGTCAAAACAAAATTAAACTTCCTTGTTCTTCTTACAAGGAGCCTAAGACTTCTATGATTGAATCCTGGTCATCTATATATTCTGCTTTACACCAAAAACTAAAAAGAAGAATAGAATTCATTTTGATCTTCTGTACAGGGCTACTTATATCTTCAAAACACCTTGCATTCCTCTCCTTCCAAATTGTCCACCAAATGGCTGCTGGGACAATTTTCCATCTATCTTTGTTAGATGTAGAGCTCCCCCCCGTGTTCCAGCTAGACAAAAGTTCATAGGTTCTTCCTGGCATTGTCCATCGGATGCCCCTGATGTTAATGAACAACTCCCACAGCTGTCTTGTCACTCTACAATGTAGAAACAGATGGTTAATTGTCTCTGCATCTTGGCCACACAAATAACATCTAGAGCAGATTGATAAACCTCTTTTCATGAGGTTTTCTTGAGTGAGTACTGCTTCTTTAGCCACCAACCAAGTAAAGCATGCCACTTTATATGGTATTTTGACTTTCCAGATATGCTTCCAAGGCCATAGGCTGAGTTGAGATCCTACCCGATTCAAATTTTTATAGGCTGATCCTACTGTAAACCTCCCGCTGCTATGTTTCTGCCATACTAAAGTGTCTTCCCCTTCTTGTAATCCTCCGCATTGCTCCAAAGTATTGTAAAATTCAGTTATTGTTGTTAGTTCCCAGCCTTGTAACAATCTTCTGAATGTCAAGTTCCATCCTTCAATACCCCATACCTCCTTAACTGTTGCCCCTTGTTGTTGATTCAAAGTAAAAATATCAGGGAACAAATTCTTCAAACTTCCAATTCCTAACCAGTTGTCCTCCCAAAATAACGTTTTCCTTCCATCCCTCACATTAAGACTTAAGTCATGAAAAAGGTTTGGCCATAAGTTCCGGATTGATCTCCATAGACTAATTCCATAAGGGTTCTTCACCTCTTTGGTCATCCAAAACCCTTCTTTTCCATATTTTGCCTTTATCACCTTGCCCCATAGTGTTTGTTCTTCCTTAGGAAACCTCCATAACCACTTCATCAACAGACATTTGTTCTGCTTCCTAAGGTTTTTGATTCCTAATCCACCTTCTCGTTTACTAATAGTCAGCTTCTTCCAATAAACTAGGTGAAATCCTTTTTTTTCTTTATTTCCATGCCATAAAAAGTTCCTTCTCAGAGTTTCCAATCTATTTTCTACACTTGCAGGTAGAGGAAATAAAGACATCATGTAGGTAGGGAGAGCATCTAGCACAGAGTTAATAAGTACTAGTCTACCTCCCAAAGAGATATACTGTGTTTTCCATCTAGCTAGCTTTTTTTCACATCTTTCCAAAACTCCATTCCAAATTTCTTTGGATTTGCTTTTTGCTCCCAAAGGCATTCCCAGATAGATAGTTGGAGTTGTGCCTATTTCTCCTCCCAAGATGTTTGCCAGCATCTGAATATTAGGCACCTCATTTACTGGGAAAATCTGACTTTTTCTCCAGTTAATGTGAAGACCAGAGACAGCTTCAAAGAGGATGAGGATAATCCTGAGGTACTTTACCTGACTCTCTTCTGTTCCACAAAAAATAAGGGTATCATCTGCATATTGTAAGTGAGTTATTTCTAACCTCTCATCTTGATTATTTGCTACGTTGAATCCCTTAATCCACCCATTATAGTGAGCAGTCTTCAACATATTGTTCAAACCTTCCATAGCTAGTATGAAAAGGAAAGGTGAAAGGGGGTCACCTTGTCTCAAGCCCCTTTGAGAAGGGAAAAACCCTACTGGAGATCCATTAATCA